TACTTCCGGGTCACAACGGTTTTGTTGGCATCTAGTGAGACCCAAACCTGGGTCGTGATGGTTCAGCTTTTATTCTGAAAGGAACCATTGCAGCAGTTGGAACAGCAACATATTTTATCCAGTCAGAGGAGAGGGGGAAAATGACTTTTGGTGGAAAACAGTCATTTCATACCGTTACAGTTTTGAGAGAAACCCTTTTTCCAGTCAAAGCAGTTATTGACTGTTGGGAATTTGCTGCAGTGACTTTGTGTTGTTTTGGAAAAAAGCATCTTGACAGCTTCTGTTGCATTAAACAGACGCCGTGGAATTGGAGAGCTGCGGCAGAAGAGGTGGATTTGTCACCAGTCAGTTCCAACTTTATGATCGTAAAAAAAAAAGTGGGTGTAACTTCCATTGTTTCTTCACTGAGGAAGCAGTGTATTATGTTGCTCTTCTTGTTTTTACCAGGAAACATAAATAATCTCACCTACTTTCCTTCTTTGGCTTTTTAACGTGAGCAGAAAAGGCTTTATTTGTGTTTGCATGAGTCCGATTTAATAAACTGGTTTATAAAGTCTGGGTTGTGCAGTTTAAAGATGAAGATTTCACAGACATGTTCTGTGACTTTGCAGCGGGATTCAAACATCCATCCCATGCAGGGAGTTTAGTAAACAAATGCATCTATTCCCTAATGGGGTTTGAATTTAAAATAGATTGCTGCTGACCTTTCCCAGAGCAAGATGGTTCTTGTTCATCTCTTTTGCAGCACGTTCTTTTAAAGCACCACACACCACCACTCCTGTCCACAACAGTGAAAAGAGCGACTGTCTCTGTGTGTTTGTTTGATGCCTAAACAGTCTTGTCCTGAACTTGTTGACCCACAGAAACACGAAACCCCATTGGTTTAGAAAGCGAGAGTGGGTCTTACAGAGTACGGCTCTGTGGCGACCGCCTCCAAAAACTCAGAAAGTTTACCTTTCAGCTCTCCAGCCTCGTACCCCGAGCAGCAGAGGAACTCAGATCTCACAAAAAGAAAAGGCAGACTTTTTGTGCCTCTGGCACTTTGGTAATAACTCGGAGAAGAGCACATAATCCTTTAGAAAACGTTCTCATGACCATCTCTTAATAAAACCTTATGGGGTTCTTCTTTATTTATTTGAATGTTTAGTGAAAAATTCCAGATGTTTAACCTGGAGCCTTAAGCAAGAGCTTCTCTACCCTAACCCTAAAAGTGCATCATTCCAACGCTGCAATGGGTCTTTCTGGCTATGTTTTGGTGCGATAGCTATTTTTATGTTTAGTATTTGTTTATTTAAGGATCACCATCTGTATTCACCAAAGAAAGATTTTTCTTCCATGGGTCTACGTTTAAAAAATACATATAATCTTGCAAATGTGTTGAAAAAATATCACAGGGAAGAGTAATCTAACTTTGATTGCTCGAAACACAAGACTGTCAAAGATGGCTGATGACAGTGTAGCAGGTGGGTCTACCAGCTAGTAATGCTAGCACTAACTTAGCATCACTTGTGTATTGTTAGCTTAAAAGCTACAGCATTAAGTATAAAAATTAAAGCTAGAATGAAAAATTGCTGAACAAGTTTGCTTAAAACATATTTTCATTCCTCTTAACCGTGTTCTAATGTAGTATGGCTGTAAATATTTTGTTAAAAAAATGAAATGGTTCTCTCACATTTGTCTAAAAACCTCAGCCAATAACACGGCTTGGTCCATAACCAACGATTGGACCATCAGGCTGTCAGTCTCACTGAACCACTGTCAGAGAAGGAGAAATAGCCGGCTGTTACCACTTAAACTTTAGGACAAATGTCCAGAGTCACCAAAAATTGTCACCAAAAATTAAAATCGCACACAATTTGAACTTGTGGAAACCAAGACGTTTGGACGTAAGTATGGTGATGTTTAGCACTCTCTCGTTTCCTCTGGCAAAATGGGTTCCGGTGGGTGTGGCCCAGGGATGATAGTTAGCGGGAAGGGTGAAAATCCCATGCCTGTGTTAGCGTTCAAAAGCTAGCTTGTTTTGCAGATTTGCCATTGCAGATTTAATTAAAGTAGTAATATTTTGAAATGAATTCTTTAGATACACACGTTGTTGACTTTACGTGTTGGTAGCTCTACCCTTGCCACTGTCGCAGCCATCTTTGAATAAATGGTCAGAATCCCGCACGCATCTTTATTACACCAGAGTTTAGCAGCTTCTAGTTCAGGCTCAAAAAACTTTTGCAGGAATCCAAATCAGCTGCTGTTGTTAGGTTTGACTGAAAAATCATATTTGGGTTTGACAAATTTAGATTTCTGGTGAGGAATTTAGCAGCCCAAACCCGTGTTTCTGTCTACGACGCAGAAGCTGGTTCTGGTGCGACGGTGTGAGGAACGAGTTCTCGGCAAAACCCTAGGTAAAATAGTTCGCGTAAGCCTGAGTGTGAAATCCACTTCAGCTTTCAACAAGTAATCATATTAGCATCTGAAACATCGTGGAGCTTTTTTCCTGCCAATTTTAATCATAAAACATGAAAGAATCCACACCATAAAAAGTTTGTTGAGCTAAGCAGAAACTTGCAGGTCTTCCATATTCCAGTAAAACATTTATTTTAGTTACAACAAAAATGAAACGCTTTCAGGTGACATCTGACCATGTGATGGTCAGGTTTTTTTTGTTGCCAAAACATGAAGAATGGAAGAAACAAATAATTGGTGTGAATCATGGGACAGCATTAATCTTCCAGATGAGTGATATGAAAGATAAAAATAATAACTAACACCTTTGCTGCTTGCTCAGTTCTACAGCTAATTCAGTTTTTGTGCACTCAATGGCTGGCGTGTAGATAAAATGTAAAAGTATGAGTTTTATAAAGCTGGTAAAGCAAAACAAAAGTGGATTCCTTGTATGAGAACAGGAAATACAAAGTCACACACACCACAATGCTTTAATAACTTATTGGTATGAGGAAATGTTCGGCTGATCTCCTGGATTTTTCTGAGCTCAGGCTGAAAATGAGATTTCCAATAACAGGAACATGGGAACAGACAGCCACGGGTTTCACCTGCAGCTTTTTGCACAAACAGGTTTGTTTCTGAGCAAAACCTGAAAGCTATTCAAAGTTCAGGTCTTGGTCAAAAACGAGTTTGAGTTTCATTTATTTTAGAAACCTGAAAATAAACCGGTTCTTGGTATGACAATTAGAAAGAAACCAAAGAATTTTTTTCAGAGATCAGAAATAAACCCAGAAAAAGGCAAACGGAGCACCCTTTGATTCATTTTGAATGCTGATACAGTTATTTTATGAATTTGTGTTGAGTTTAGCTCTACATCAATGCAAAAGCTGCAACTGTAAAGCCATATTTAGCAACCTTTTCATATTTTTAACTTTTCTTGAGCCAGTGTGTGACAAAATAACCCTTTACGCAGGGGTATTCAATTCCAGGCCTGTTAGCCCAGATCTGGACAAGTGGGGGAGTAGAGGGAGGTGGAGTGTACAGTCGGTAAAGACGGCTCTCCCTTGCCCTGCCTCCAATATGCCTCCATCTAAAAGGCTAGGTTATTCAGAGTTATCTCTGTAGTTATGCTGCTAAAGGCTTAGACTGCTGGAGGACATACTGACCACTTTCCACACTCTACTGCTTTCTTCTACAATTTACTTTTTAACTGCATTATTTCCTGCTATTTCAGCTGTTAACTTTATTTCCTCTCTAAGTGTTTTCCTCCCCAGAAGAAGCTACAGTGGTGTTCTGCAGAGCTGTGGTGGCCTCATGGAGGGGCCATCAGCTTGAACACTGCTGCTAACCACTTAAACATTCTCCCTCTCCTGATAATAACATTTTACTTTCCTTGGCATAGAATGTGCTACTACTAGTTTACCCTTTAATTATAGATTCACTAGGATAAATACAGTAAAGTTTATCTCTCACCAAATAGAATAATTACTAACAAATCACAATATAACCATAGAAACACTATATATGGTGTGTGTGTGTGTGTGTGTGTCTGCTCTGTCTTCTCGTTTCCCAGTGAGTCGTGGTGGATGGCTGCTTATACTGAGCCAGGATCCTCTGGAGGTTTCTTCCTGTTAAAAGGGAGTTTTCCTCTCCACTGTCGCTAAATGCTTGCTTAGTATGAGGATTGCAGTAAAGACTCTGACCCTAGTCAGTGACTCGATGCAATCTGCTGGGTTCCTTCTATAGGAAACATTTTACTGATTGGCTTTATGAACTGACCTGAATTGGAATGTTTACAGTATGAAGGTCCTTGAGACAACTTGTCGTGATTTGGTGCTTTATAAATAAACTTGAATTGAATTTAATTGAATTGAACTGAATTGAATAGGGCCGGTGTCCAGCACATTTTAGCTTTATCTCTGTTTCAGCACACCTGATTTCATTCAGCAGGTTATTAACAGAGCCTGATGAGCACATGTGATTCAACCACTGAATCAAGTGTGATGGAGCAGATAAACCACTAAAACATGCTCGATACGGGTCCCCCAGGTCCGGAAATGAACACGCCACCTTTACAGGGTTAATGAAAGACCACCCAGCCCCCATCGCACCCTGTGGCCAGAATATTCCACTTGCAACTTCAGACTGGCGGGCCGCTCTGTTGGGATTTAGAAAAAAACTGCTGACATACCTGGCACTGCAGTCTGCTTCCAGCACGTTTCCTGCTTGTTTTAGATCAGGAACATAGCTGACTTGTTTACTTTAGTGATGAATCACACCTGTAGACACCAACGAAGACTGAGGAGACATTTCAGCTGTTAGATTAAGGTGTTAAAAAGACGACCACACACAAAACAATCACACAAAGGTTTGTCTCAAATCCTGCTTTCTGATTGCGAACTAATAAGCGTGGGAGTTTTGGGCCAAATGAATCTTATTACCCAACTCGTAATCTGATCCTACTGTTAATCTCATCTTCTGCACTCATGATGGTATCTTATAAATAAGTAACGTTCTTTGTCTCTTCACTGACAACACAACCGCTGCTTTGTGTCTCCTTGCAGCAAATAACGTTCCCGCTGATGATGAGCGTCGGAGCAGCTGTGATTGGCTCCCTGCAGTTTGGATACAACTCAGGTGTCATCAACGCCCCTCAAAAGGTGAGTTGGATAGTTGGTTTGTCGAAGTGAAGCTGAACATGACAGCAACAAGAGTTAAGCTCTGCCTGTGTGCTGCTCAGGCAGGATTTCTGACTCTTGCATCACTTCTGTCGGCTTCATTATTCTGCTGCTTTCAGAGGAAACTGTTCACCCCTTTGCTTGATTGGAGATCAGCACAGACGGGCAAGTTTGGGTTAGGACAGGAGATAAAATTAGCTTCTTTCTTTAACTCCAAGGACATTTCATGTTTCTGATTGTGCAAAAGAGTGTCTGTGCCTAAAAAATGGACGTGCTATTGTGCTGGGAAATGACATTGAAATTTCACCGGTCACAACAAAAGAATGAAAAGATGTGCTTCAGGGGGAGTTTATCTGCTTTAGGTTTTATAAAATCTAATTTCCTAAGGAACGTCTCCATTTATTGTCTGTTTGCTTTGCTTTGGTCCAAACGCACCCTGCGGCTACACAGCTGCCTGTCGGCATCGGTTACATGTGTTAGCAGACAGGTCAGAATGTCCCGTGTGCAGACACCTTGGTGCGCCCGAATATCGACGCTCACAGCTGCACAAATACAAGTTTTCACTCCGAAACAGACAATTTTGGATTTAAAAATAGTTTTTTCTACAAACAAAAAATATGACAGCTTATTTACCAGCTCTTTATAAAACTAAATTATGTAAAAAGAAAGCAGGTGTTAAACATGTTATGTGGTTAGATCAGGTATGAATGGACGGATGATTGTGTACTCGTGTGTATTCGGGTGTAAACGTGTGTTTTTTTGTGTTTTTTGTTTCATTTATAGAGTACCTTGAGTAGGGCGGGAGTATTTTTTTCTAACATTTGCGTGGTATTATTGTAATATGTAATAGTAACTTAGACAAAAAAAAATTACAAATAAGAAGAAACACACTCACATAGATTCTCCATTTAACACCCCAAATGCAGGTTTTAGTCTAATGCGTCTATACTTGTAAGACAGTGGGATCAGAATGAGGAACCATTGTTAGGGAATGATTATAATCTCTGTTTGCCCTCAGCAAAGTAACAAAGCCGTCAGCTTCAGTCCAAAATGACACTTTGAACGGTACGTCCCTGTAATTTTTCCCTGAGAGCATGTAGGCTGGAAGCTCTGTACATACTTCTCCGTGGAGCTGCCAATTGGTTGCATGGAGGTTTTTTTGTTTTTTTTTTTACTTAACTGCGTGATTTACTTTGAAAATATGCTCTTTATCACACCGGACTTGTATGTGCTTGTTCTCCTGTGATCCCACACCGAGACTTTGAGGTCTGACGGACACGTCTTGCGCTCTGTAAGTCCGTTAAGCCAATTTTGTGTAGCAAATGTAGTTTTGATTATCACCAAATGCTTCAGTTCCTGTTTGTGATAAAGGCTGCTGCCGGTGCTGCAGGCCTTGTACAGTGTCTCTGATTAGATACACTATTTCAAGGGCCTTGTTCTGACTGTTCTGTTCTGTCCCACCCCCACCTCGCCTGTTGCATCTGTGTCTCATCAACACCTCCATATAAGCCAGTCAGAGCTTTATTTAAAGCTTTAATAGGTATTCTTCCATTTCCTTTTGGTAAAACCAGAACTAAAACCAACTATTTCAGAGTATTTCACGTGTTTAAATAAAATCCCTTTTATATGCTGAACTCACCTCTGGTAACCTGCCAACAACCAACCAACAGTTTAAAGTTAGCAAGAAAAGGGTTTCAGAAAACTCACTTTACATCAATGTTTAAAGCAACACAGAGCAGTTTCCTGCTCTTCCACCCTACTGGTTGAAAGTGGAATTACAACAGTCATAAACAACCCTGCTGCAGCCTGCTGGAGCTAGTGCTAACAACGAGCTAACATTAACATGAGCAAAGTAATGCAAAAATAAACATCAAAGTAAAAAGATCCACACCGGTGGACAGTACGTCCCTGTAATTTTTCCCTGAGAGCATATAGGCTGGAAGCTCTGTACATACTTATCCGTGGAGCTGCCAATTGGTTGTATGGAGTTTTTTTTTTTGTTTTTTTTACTCAACTGTGTGATTTACTTTGAAAATATGCTCTTGATCACACCGGACTTGTATGTGCTTGTTCTCCTGTGATCCCACACCGAGACTTTGAGGTCTGACGGACACACACATAAACATAAACAAAAATATTATTATTTACAAGTCCAGTAGCAACAAAGCCAGGTCACCATCAGTTCGTGATTTTGTAGCCTTCTTTAGCTTCCTCAAGCTAGTGTAGGCTGCATGGACGTTCACTCTGGTTTTAGCTCTCTGCTTCACCTCCAAAGACATTACTCTTACTTTTACTTCCAGGCTGAACTGAAAATGCTAACCACTAACATTACAGCTAACAGCCATAAGGCAGTTAAAGAGTGCCTCCTAGGACACCTACCAGCTCCTCAGAACTATCAAGTGTGGTTTTTGGTTAGCAAAAGGCTGCATAGTGGTGTCAACTTTGAAACAGGCCAAGTTTCTAACTCAACAATCTCTGACATCATTGTTGAAGCTCTAGCTTAAAGTTTACAAACTATCTGTTGTTACTTTAAAGGGGATTATACAAAACTTATCTTTTGCATTCTTTTTTGCTGCCGTGTGGGTCTCTTCTGCCTTTATGAACGCTCCAAACATCCATCCATTTTCTGTCAAGTGTTTAGTTTTTAGAAATATGAGCCCAAAACAAACTGTTTTTAAAAGCCCCCTGCTTGTGATGTCACAAACAGGGAAAGAAGAATAGAAACACCTCTCCTGTGCAACCCCAAGCCCCTCCCAGATATCGGTGCTTCTGGGCTTATAGCAGCCTGAGCGGAGGGTTGGTGGGCATGGCCAGTTCATGCCCGTTTTCTTAAAATAAGGAAATAGCTCATTCTGGAGAGATGCTGATAAAGTGAAGAATAAAACTACTGCAATCACTTTATATCAGAGAGATTTAGTGCAAAGAACTTTATGAACATGATTTGTATTAGCCATGAGCTGTTATTTACCCTTTAACCCTATGGAGGCAGGCATTGCAGATTTGCAACAGTTAAAACCTACCTACCTGGTTACTCCACATACGTGTTTCATGAGCATTTCTTAACTCAGAAGTACCCCTGAAGGACTTAATTGGTCGTCCTTTTATCAAAACTTATTTTGAGCCTGAGAGGGTTAAACTTATAAAATCTGCAACCTAGTGGCTTAAAAACAGCTTTCAGGTTTAGGTAAATTAATACAAATCTCACAAACACATCTGAGGTGTTTACTTTTACATGTTTAACGTATACCTGGAGGTCCTCAGCTGACATTAACACCCCCCAACTACTTGTCAGTCAGAAATGCGTTCCTCTAAAAACCTTTAGACAAAGTGTAGTTTTTACCGTTAATCTCTGAAAATATCCATTGAAATGTTGTTGAAAATGAATAAAATGATGCCCAGTTGTTGAAAAATATCAACAGCTTCGTAACATATGACCATAAAAATTGGGTCTAAAATGCATGGGAGCGGGTTCAAGTCTCTGCATGACGCCATATTAGACGAGGGGATCCCCCATGAGGACAAATTGCATTTACTTGTAACAAACAGTTACAAAACTTTTGCCAATCGTAAATGTTGTTGTTTTACACACACACACCTCTTCACTTGTTGCCAGTGATGAAGGGAGTCTGACGTACTTGCCATTTTGCTGAAGGTTGCGCTCCCAGGGCTTTTTGACCCTGATGGCCATCCGTTGGTAAGGTCTTACTCCAACACAAAAATACTGCTTCCTTGCAATGATTTAGGCACGTACTGCCCCCTAATGCCAGGGAAAATACACACTGTCGTTTTAAAGTGTAGATGTGATGAGGTGAGGTGAAGGTCGTAGGTACGATAGCATACTTGTGAAATCACAGAGTGAGGTCTTGTAAGTGTAAGCTGATAGTGGACGTGACCCAGGCTGCATGTGTCATCAACAAAGGAAAGCCCTTGACAAGTGATAGTCACACTGCTTCATCAGGCATTCCTGGTCCTCCTCACCCTCTCTGAGTTCTGAGCTCTGGTACATTTAGATCTCTGGTTTGAGTGCCAGCAGTTATGAAACAGTGTCACATGACATAGCCCTGGAGAACAGGAGTGCTGAGGTGATTCGGGGTGACAGACTGGGTCATTACCTTTCCGAGTTTTATGCGAGGTGTGGCTGTGACGTACACCTCAGCAAGCTAGTGTGTTTCAGAAAGGGGCGGGGGCAGAAACATAACACTTCTGTGTGGCTGGTAAACGTCCTGGTTTATGCAGGAAGCGGTGGTGATTATAGAGCCCATGCTGCCATCAGCTGGCCTCTGCATTGCCAACAATTGTGAATGAGGATACGAGGAGCTTATGTAACCCTGATGATCAGATTACAACATAGCTAGTTTAGGAAGGACCTCCTTGTTCAGGTGTTGAATCATGGCTTGACCGGGTGCTGAGGCAGGACCTGTAGTACTGCATGAGGTAGTCTAGAGCAGGAGTGGGCAATCCTAGTCCTCGAGAGCCACTATCCTACTTGTTTTAGTGTTTTCCTTTTTTTCAAAACACCTGATTTCAATCAGCAGGTGATTAACCGGCTTCTGCAGAGCTTGTTGAGCTGCTGAACAGGTGAATTAACTGCGTTGGAACTGGGAAACAACAAAAAGATGCAGAAGACCGGCCCTCGAGGTCTGGAGTTGCCCACCCCTGTTTTAGAGTGATAGAAGAGTACGTTAGAGTGAAGCAGCACCTGTTTGAGAGCTGTGAGACAGCAGTGAGACAGAGGGACTCCATCAAGAATCATCTCTAAGCCCTTCTTGTTTTCTTTGCTGTCTCCATTGACTGTGATGTTTGCAGGTGATATTATAATCAGAGAGGTGACTTGTGGCATCAACAAGTCAACTCCATGCTGTGATTTTGTTGAACAAGTTTCAAACATGGCGTGGAGATGACTGGTTGATGTCACAATTCCCCATCTCTGGTTATATTTATAGGTACCTTCTAATCTATGGTCCTGGGATGAATTTGAACAATAAAAGCTCTTTTTGTTTTTTTGGGCAGATTATTGAGACCTTCATCAATGAGACCTGGTATGACCGCTACAAAGAGCCCATCCCTAAAAGTGCTCTCACGATCATCTGGTCCATTACTATCTCCATCTTCTCTGTAGGCGGCATGATCGGTTCGTTCTCTGTCGGACTTTTCGTCAATCGCCTAGGAAGGTAAAGTTTAACATTCAGATGACTGGGGTTAGCATTGTGTAGCAATGCATGTAAATAATCCGATTCCTGACAGATGCTAGAAGGCCATTTTTAAATTATCTGTGATATTGTTTTGCAGGAGAAACTCGATGCTCACGGCCAACGTCCTGGCCTTTATCGCCGCTGCCCTGATGGGATTCTCAAAGATAGCCAACTCCTGGGAAATGCTGATCATCGGCCGTTTTGTGATTGGCCTCCATTCCGGTCTGTCCACGGGCTTCGTGCCCATGTATGTGGGCGAGGTTTCCCCAACGGCCCTGCGAGGCGCTCTGGGAACGCTGCACCAGCTGGGCATCGTCGTTGGGATCCTCATAGCACAGGTCAGCGATCTTTAGATTTTCCAAAATGCAGATTGTCCTGGGAAGAAGGTTGGTCACGCCTCGTGTTGATTTCAGGTGTTTGGACTGGAGATGATCATGGGGAATCATGGCATGTGGCCGCTGCTCTTGAGCTTCACCTTCATCCCTGCTGTGATACAGTGCGTTCTGCTGCCGTTGTGCCCCGAGAGTCCCCGTTTCCTGCTCATCAACAAGAACGAAGAAAACAAGGCCAAGACGAGTGAGTTACAAAAGCTTTTAGTCTTCAGAAACCTGAATATTTATCAGTTTTAAACACTCATCACAGACTCCAACAAGCTTCTAGCGTTATTTATCACAATGTTGATGCATTGGTTACATGATCTAAACAAACAAAAGGATGCAAACCAAACGTTTCTTCTACAAAAGTTTATCTGATGTGTTTGTTTAGTTCTTAAGAAGCTCAGAGGAACCACAGATGTGAGCGCAGACATGCAGGAGATGAAGGAGGAAAGTCGACAGATGATGAGGGAGAAGAAGGTGACCATCATGGATCTCTTCCGTTCCCCTCTCTACCGCCAGCCCCTCCTCATCGCTGTCATGCTGCAACTCTCCCAGCAGCTGTCTGGGATCAACGCTGTGAGTTTAAAGACTTCAATGATGAAACTTGTGTCCCATCTGATGGCTAGATTCTTCCTAAACTGTAACTTTGCATTGCTGTTTAGGTGTTCTACTTCTCCACCCTGATCTTTGAGAAAGCTGGAGTGGAGCAACCGGTCTACGCTACGATTGGAACCGGCGTCGTGAACACTGCTTTCACCGTAGTTTCTGTAAGTGCAGTTTAGGTTTTCACATTGATATTATGCACATGCATGTTCTGTCCAATTAGAGATTGCTCTTACGTAATCAGAAAGATTCTGAGCTTTAGATCAGTATCTTTTTGAGTTTTATGTAAGTGAAACCCTTCAAAGAATACAATGCTACTTTTTCATATTTTTAAATCATGTTCTTGAGCCAGTGTGTGCTAATATGACCTTTTACAGGGTCAATGAAATGTCACTCAGACCCCTATTGGCCCCTGTGGCCAGAATTCCTCACTTGCAACTTCAGAGTTGCCGATCTGGTCCTTTCTGGTGGAGGAAGCTATGGACTGGAGTGGAGATGTCATAGTGGAGCTGCAGTCTGCTTCCAGCACGTTTCCTGCGTATTTTAGATCAGGAACACAGCTGATCTGTTTGCTTTAGTGATGAATCACTCATGTAGACGCTAATGAAGGCTGAGGAAGTGTTTCAGCGGTTAGATTAAGGTTTTAAAAAGACAAACGCACAGCATGGAGATAGGTTTCATTTCTATTTAACCACAGTGAATCAATAATGGACACTAGGGGGCGCTACAAGCAAGCAGAACTGAAAAGTGTGCCTTTAAAACTGACTATGAATGAGCTAAAAAAAACAAGGATTCCATTTTATTGCAGTTCTTTAGTATTTCAGGTTTTGCTTTGGCTCATGATTATTAAATACGCTAAAAGAAATGTTCTGATCTGCTTTTGTTTTAGCTTTTTGTTGTAGAACGAGCAGGACGCAGGTCCTTGCAGCTCCTTGGTGTTTTGGGAATGGCCGGGTCCGCCGTCCTGTTGACCATCGCTCTGGCTCTGCTGGTAGGTACATCTCTAAAAAAAAAACCTTTTCTAGCTAAACCTCATTTACTTAACTAGTTTTTGTTTTTTGTGTCTTTGTTCTGCAGGAGCAACTCAAGTGGATGTCTTATGTGAGCATCGTATCTATCTTTGCCTTTGTGGCGTTCTTCGAGATCGGGCCGGGTCCCATTCCCTGGTTCATCGTGGCAGAGCTGTTCTCACAGGGACCCAGGCCGTCGGCCATGGCCGTAGCTGGGTTTTGTAACTGGACTTCTAACTTCATAGTGGGAATGGGCTTCCAGTATGTAGAGGTGAGTAAAGGGAGTCATTTAACCTTTAAGTTGCTTTGAAAAGATGCTCTTTTTTTCCAGAGATATAGCAAATATGGATACACTGAAATATTGTGATATTTTGCAACAGTGTGTTGATTTTTTTGAGCCTTTACGTGCAAACATTTACTGGATTTATTTTGTGTGTTGTAATTCAAACTCCAACTGCTAGGTGGCAGCAGTTTTTACTGCCTTCATTCCAACAGAACAAGATCTCGCGAAAAAAACTGTTTTGGAAGTGTCTGAGCAATAGCTTTTCCGCTATTGCGAGCTTTTCCGCTATTGCTATGTCTCCCTGTATTGCAATAAATATCGTATTGCCTACTTTTTACCAACAGGTTTTATTTTCTGCTCTGTTTTCTACAGGAGCTGTGCGGTCCTTACGTGTTTATCATCTTCGTTGCGTTTCTGCTCTTTTTCTTCATCTTCACCTACTTCCGGGTGCCGGAGACCAAGGGCCGGACGTTTGACGACATCGCCGCCGGCTTTCGTCAACCGGCCGCGGGTGGAGCAGAGAAACACTCGCCGGAGGAGCTGAACAGCCTGGGAGCTGACTCTCAGCTCTGAGCGGCTGCGTGTGAACTTTGTGACAAAAACTTACGCAGCTGAACTGCACTGGTCTGCTGATTAGCGGCAGACGGATCCACTGGTAGCACACTTTTTATTCTGTCACCACATTTCGGAGTGCCTCCTTCAGCGTGACGTCTTCTGCTGCTTCTCTCTTAATGTGCAAAACGTGAAAGGAGAACTGAGTGGAAGTGAGTTTCTCCTTTCCGATCGGGGGGGGGGGGGAGCTGAAGATGTTTTTTAAACATTTAAAAGTTGTTTTTCAAGGAGGAAAAGCTGCATCTGCATCAATCCACCAGCTTCTACTGACCCTTTTTTATGAATATTTTACTGATATGTTCGTATTTGCGCTGTTACGGTTGACAGCTGTAAGTTTTTACTGTAACGTCTTTAGGCTCAAACACTGTTGTTTCTCTACTGTTTCTCCACCAGATGGAGCCCTTTCTTTTCAGAAGGTGTTCCAGTGAGAAGAAATGTTTTATTTAAACCTTTTATAATAGAGTATTCAAGCTATGTGTTGGCTTTTTAGAGGATTTTCTCATAAAAGATGCTTATTTTGTCAATTTTACAAGCTTTTCATAGTTCAAGTCTCATTTGTTACATAAACATTTTTGATGAGGTCATCAGAAAGATAAAAACACACAGAACTTGATTCTCCGTTCCTGTATTTTTATATAATTCAATTTATCTGGCTCATATAACCATTTTGCTAGCGTTTCACCCCCCCAACCAGCTACCATCAAACCAAAACCCACGGTTGTGAGTAAGCGTCCATCTGCAGAAGCTCTGCAGACCTCTCGTTCCAGGTCAGAGTGCCCTGATCCAGAATAAGAGTCTCACTGTGGAGCTTTGAAGTCCGGAGCCATGGCTCGAGAGCTGCTTGCTGTTTCTAGAGGATTCACGTGGACCACAGATAATGAAATCCTTAGTTGTGGGAGTTCTCTCTGTACTCTGCCCTCCATTGCTCCCTCTCCGGTCCTGTGATGTGTTATAAATAAGAGCTCCATACCGCTGTCTGTTGCTGCTGTACCTCTAATAATCATGTCTCCCGTTTTTACACGTGTGAAGAAAGTTAAAACTATCAGAGCACTTAAATGTTTAGTCAGACGCTGAGTTTTTTATTATTCACTCATAACGTCACTGCAGAGAGACTGAAGCACTGCTGATGGAGTATTTAATGTTTTTAGGACAGAAAATGTGTAGAATTGTGTTTATTTTTTTAGTATTTATCAGAGTCCTGTACACAGAGGAGCATGCTGGCAGCGGAGGTCATTTAACAAATCGGTTTGCTTTGAAATTCGCAACGCAACAAACACTTTTAATCATTCCAAGATTGCCTTGTTTTTATTCACCTGGCAGACCAGTCACAGGGCAGGATTTGTAATTTGTTAACTGAGAGCTTTCATGCATCATCGTAGCAACCAAATACCCACAGACTTACTCTGATTTTATTATATGAAAGTGTATTTATGTACATAACTTCACATCCGGGCATTTGGGATTGTGTGTTTCCTGTTTGGTTGCCAGGTTTGGTTGTCTGAAGATGCTCTAGCTCCTAAAACTCACCTCAAATGTTGGCTTTTCCTTTTTTTATTTGATATTATTTCACAGATAAGTTATTGATAATGCAGAGCTGTTTGTCTTCTGGTTCCTCTCTGTTCCGATGCCTTTAGATGAATCATTCTAGATTTTACATGTAAAGATTTATTAGTATATAATTCAGCACACATGTAACGTTTGTAGTCACATGAATGTGTGTGTGAGCGTAAATTGTGATGGCTGATACTGTAAAATGGTTCAGCTGTAACATGCAAAAGGTTTTATTTGGAAAATTAAAGAGATCACACATTCATTTCAGTAAAGTTGTGTGTGTGTGTTTTTTGAAGTGAAACTGTGTAAATCCATTGGAGGTTAACCAATTCACACATTTACAAATGTTTATTCATAAATGAAGCAAATAGAAGATTTTAGAATATTCTTTATTCTCGTTTGATTCACAAGCAGGTTTAGGGGTGAGAAAGGCGTCAGAACTTTGAATATTTGTGATCCTGGTCAGCCTCAGGCCCGACCCACATCAATGCGGGCTGCCTTCCACTCGCAGTTCTGTGAACGCTGATTTCTTCGTAGACTGCTGATGAGCAGATTGCTTCTAAATGGAATGCAGCTCCTCTTGATCGGTTCAAGCTCCAAAATCTTCTCTGAGTATTAAGCACATGTACTTTTACACCTTAGACCTTTGAGTCGCATGTTGTGTATGAATTATGGATTAATTAGGTCACAGATAGTGGCCTAATTAATTAGGACTTGATGGTTGTGGTGTAGAAGGACAAGAAGACGATGTTTTATATAACGTCTCAAGATAAAAAACCACGAGGCGCTTCACAAAAACCTAAAAAAAATATGGAAGTATAAAAAGTTTTCAAAAATGATTAAAATGTGTTTAAAAGGAGAAAAAAATGTAAGGAAAGGGAGAGAGAAGATGAATAGGGAAGAGGGAAATCAATGGACCCCGGGAGAACAGAATAAGGAGAGGATGGTGATGAAGGTCACCAAAGCCTGAACAAGTGAGTCTTCAGCTGCTTTTTAAAGGAGTCCACTGATCTCAGGCTCAGTGGGAGAGAGGTCCAGAGTCTGGGGGCCACAGCAGCAAATGATCTGTCACCTTTGGTCTTTAGCCTGGTGCTGCACAACCAGTAGGCTTTGATCACTGGACCTCAGGGACCTGCTGGTGGTGTAGGGACTAAGAAGATCACCAATGTAAGATGGTGCTTGTCCATGTAAGGCCCTATAGACCAGAACCAGGATCTTGAAATGAACCCTGAAGTTGACAAGCAGTCAATTAAGCTGGAGGAGAAGCGGGGTGATGTGGGTGTGCTTGGAGGACTTGGGCTGAAGCCGAGCACAGGCCTTCTGAACCACCTGTAGACGGTTCAGGGAGGTTCTGCTCAGACACGTGAAAAGTGCAGGGCAGAATGGGACTCAGCTTAGCAATGTTCCTGAGATGGAAGAAGGAAGAGCCAACAAGAGAACTGACATGAGAATCCAGGGTGAGAGCTGGGTCAAAGGTCACACCAAGATTCCTGACAGAAGATTTGGTGTGAAAAGCAAGCTGACCAAGAGAGTCTCTGACTTTGGGAACCAGCCTGTCTGGGGCACAGATAGTGTAGACCTGCCTCATCGACTCTACTCTGGTTGAATTTCTTCAGCTGCCTCAGGAAGTCCATCCTTTGATGGAGGTGATGGTGGGCTCCCACTTGAAGTCTTGGTACACCAGCCATTTGATCTGCACAGGAAGTAAAGAGGCTTCGTCATGTGATGTTTCATCTGAGTTACAGGAAATTCAGACAATTTAGAAGAAGAATTTAGTTTTTGTTTTACATGAGCTACAAAGAAAACAGATGAGAGCAGAAACCTGTCCTATAAATCTCTGCTGGATGTTTTGGTTTTGAACAAAATAAATCACATTTGCACAAGATAATAAGAATGTTGTTTATAACAGTTTGATTAGCAAAGCAAATAGATTTTTATTACTTCTTATTATTTAACAAAGCAAATAAATCTAATATCTCCTGTTAGTTCATGCAGTTTTATATAAAAATATATATTTACCTCTCATATTTGTGACCAGATATGATTCAATTTCTTTCAAAGTTCTGCACGTGTCTACCGCCCTCTGCTGCACAATCCTAGCATTGCATGTGCTCATTGAAACGTCTTTCTTTTCTTATAATAATAATAATAATAATAATAATAATAATAATAATAATAATAATAATAATAATAATAAATAACTAAGGCTTTAAAGAGCTAAAAGACCTTACTGGAACACATGTCCCCTCAAAATTTCTTTTAATTGATGAAAATGTGTTTATCAATTACATTAATACCATTTGATCTAATGTTTTTGTATAAACAGATATGATTTTGACCTCCACAGCTGACCTTGAGACTCACATCCTCCTACCATTTTTATCTGTGAGAAAAGGTCTGACCTCAGCTTGTGTCCCCTTCATCAACACGTGTTCAGTCTTAAACTCAGAATCTGGCATTTTACATTTTATCTGATGGCTTTTCTCTTCACGTCAGCAAACTGCAAAAGGTTATTATAATCCACTATCTGTGGCCTTTAAGGTTTGAGTAATTTGCACGGGAAAGGGAAGTTTGTGCAGCAGAGGGCACATTTTCATGTCCCGATCTGTTTCCAAATGATGTTCAAGGCTGCAGAGAGCCACAAACAGAGAAGCAGGAGAAATGTGTTTGATCTGGTCTGAGTGGAAAAACGGAGTACAAAGGATCTCCTGCTTTTAGACTTCAGAGTCCTGTTTTTAACATCTGTTAGTGTTTGTTTTATTTTGTGAATGTGACAATAGAAAAAAATGTTCTGAAGGGAATTATGAAGATAATTTGTGCAAATGTTAGGTAATGCAGTGGATTCCTGTGTTTCTAGTGTGATTATTAGAGGAGTGAATGGGTTTGATTGCCTTGTGTTCCTCCAAATCCCACAGCGAACACCTGTGGAGTTAAAAATGAGCTTTTTGATAGAATTAGAGTACTTTTACCTTAACTTGTCAATCCTCTGAGTTCTCCCACCACGTTGACTAATTTTGAATTCATAAAATAACCCTGGAGCTTAGAATTAACTCAACAGCTGATATTTTAGACATTCTGCGTTCTTTCTGTTCATAAACTCACACAGAAAATCTCAAGGGAAAGGACTTGCAGCTGGGCAATAACAGAAAAAAGTTTCAGTGATGACAAAACCTCAAATCTAAATGAGGAGGGATTTATTTAAAGGCATGGTTGACTGAAAAACAATATTTTAATTATTATTTCTGATTATCATTGGTCACAGTGAGTTTTTCATGCAGGCTTAACATGAAAATAGTCTTCTACACCTATCTCCTGCATTAGCTTCTGATAGAAAATAGACCATGAAATGCTAGGATTTGAAAATCCTCACATATCTATGTCACACTGCTAATTTGCATTCATGGCCTTGCATAACCTGGCTCTCGTCTGCCCACAGGAAGGCTTTTTAAAAAACATTTTGCAGCTAGGAGAGAGTGGTGATGGTGACTTTGCAACATGGCTGAACTTGTTCTGTTAGCCAATCAGAAGTGAGGTGTGCGCATATCATTATAACAATGAGTAATCCTGCTGTTTTCAGCTCACCTCAGCACCAGCAAACTTCTGCATCTCAGAACAGGAGCATCATAGCTTTTTTTATTATATAAATGACTCATTGATTTACATTAGAGAACACTGCAAATGTGCTGCATAAATGAGTAAACTACACCTTTAAAGAAGCTGAGAGTTTGCTTGGTCTCAGCTGAATGTGAGACGAAACTTGACTTTTTATAATGCTGGAACTGGACCATCCCCAAAAACCTCCAAACGAACCCAAGAACCATCATCTGCTGATTGCTTTCCTGCAGGAGGTTTGACCCCCAGGGCAAGACACTCAGAGCTGCTTTTACATGGATCATCAAACAGGTGGACAAGTCTGTTTGGACCTCCCCCTGGGGGATTGAATGGGGAAGTATTGGGATATAGAAAAAGTGTGAAGGTGTTTTAACTTAGAACATGTTTCAGATGGAAATGAAGCTCCTACAGAGCCGCCGTTTGACTCTGACGGTTTATGCCAGGACTAAACCAAAGAACCTGGCACTCGTTTTATGCTGAAAGTTGTTGATCGTGACTGATTCTCTTTAGAGGCTGCCTGGTGCTGCTGCCACGAAAATAGACACAAGGTTCATTTCACATGTGACAACCTTAGCGAGGCTACAGTTCTTGAAAGGTTTGAGACAGATTCAGAATCTTCAGAACTGGAAATGCCTTCGGTAAAGGGGAAAATTCCATTTTGGATTTCTACAGTGTACTTGGAATTATCTTCCTAATAAATTTGACTTACTAATGTTGTGCCTCATGTGTTGCATATAAATGCAGCAGCTTAATTAACGTTTCTGACATGACTCTCAGGTCCGAAGTTCAACTTTCACTTTAGCCTTTAGCTGCATGTCTTTAGCTGCTGCATTTCTGTATCTGAGACTATAACTTGAGCTTCGATTGGCTGAGCTCATTTCATTATCAGTGATCCATGACCTGGGCTCATAGTGATTATTGAACTAGAATTTTATGTGAAGCGTTCAACAAAGGTACACTTCATCTGCAGTAGTCATAGTAGGAATGAATGCTCTGTAAGTTGTTCCCTGGGGAGGAAAAGCTCTGGTGCACCTGTTTCAGGATGGAAAATTCAGCTGGATGAGAACGTAGCTTCAGGCGGCAGGTTTTGCAGTCTTATTTCCTGATATTTGGATACTTCGCCTCTGCAACACAATTTAACCCCAGACTCTGTTTGCTTTGCAATGTTGATGTTTTATCTCCACGAATAGCACAAGCCTGGAGGAGTTCTGCCATGTGGTGGCTTCTACTAGCTGAGACGTTCTCTGCTGTTTCCTGGACGCTAAATCAACGTCAGCCTTCCCTGTCTCGAGTCAAGGCGAGTCCATGAATGTTAAGTGACAGTGTGATGTAGATCTGTCAGGCTTTTCTAATCCTAGAGTTTCACCTATTTTCTATCAGAAGCTAATGCAGGAGGTAGGTGTAGGAGACTATTTTCAAGTCACCTATCCCTAACCCTACACTGAGATACCAGAACTCCTCTGCATGAATCTAACTCCCATGTCACTTTATTCCAAAATGATGCATAGAAGCTGACAGAGAGACATTCAGTATGGATTCTCCTCCCTCTGGGTAGGAGCGGAGCTCTGCTGGAGTTATTGTTGATCCTGCGGTGCACTCATTTGTTCAGTCTCCCTGGTGATCACAACATCTAAGAGCTTTCTCTCTGTAACGATCCGTT